TATAAGACATAAATGTGCAGTAGTGATGTAACAGGCCTATGATATGATGATAGTCACAGAACTTTATGTTTTGAAAGATCAATGGATATGTGAGTGTAAAAGATGAACAAATTCAATTTAACTGATAGAGAGACAACCAATTTAGACAGACATACCGGGTGAAGGAATGGTTCAATATACATATATTGTATAGGTACGCATAAACACACAGTGATCCTTTGGACAGTAGTGGAAAAAGATCGTGATGTTGACTGGCGTGGACGTTGTGCATGAGTCTTCTCCTGAAAGATACTGTCGTGGACCATGTGTATCTCCGGAATAGACACTGGCGACGAGTCGATTCTCTGTGGCCCTTATATAATGTGATTTTGGTTGATCCCTTCTTCTTGTGCATCGATTAATACGTGATATTAGAGTATTGATATATTTTATTATTTTGTGCGGTGAGACAAGGTATTGCTGGTAATTTATGGTTTTGTTTTGACCGAACGTCTTGATTGGAGAATTATCGAAGGGGACTTGAAGTATATATATATATGTATATGAAAGAATGCTTTCATGATTTTATAATATACGGTGTTTACTGGCGGCGTTGATATTTGATTGTGTTGTCTCCACTAAGCATCTGGTCGGAGAGGTGTAGAATATTATTTATGTGTTGCATGTGCTGCGTGTATGTAAAAGGAGTGCGTATATTGTAGGTATATATGTACCTAATGCGTACGTGCGTATATGGTCCGTTTTCATTATTTGTCTCGTGTTTTATTCTAAGTCTAAGTATTATATATTACAATATGAATTTAAATTGTTGCTAACATAAATTGCTTTCATATTATAATGACACTATATGAATGTAATTTATTACAAACAGGATTTAAAATAATTTACATTCATGCCAATACCATTCTAATATGAAAGCAGGATATTTAATATATTTAAATGTTTAAATCCATTCTAAAAAAGTTTCTGATGTGAACAGAGAGGGGCTATTTTCGGATATAAAACACAGAATTTCTTAGCTTATCGTCATCAGTTCAAGCAACAGCAGTCCACAGCAGTTCCAAGAGCAGTCAGCAGCAGAACAGCATTCTTCGCCAACCAATAGTCAGCCAGCTGATTAACAGACCTCTTCAACAAGCCATCATACTTAGAAAAATACTTCAATTTCCACAAGCTATGTAAGTACTATTTTTTATATTGTTATTTATTAAATTTAACATCTAAACTTCTTTTTTAAAATAAAAATAAATAGAATACTAACAATGTATCGTAGTAATAATAATATAGCTTTATAATATTACTATGAACGTATATATATATATATCATGTAGGCATGACTTTAGATAGAAATTCTATCTAAAACCGTGCTTACAAACTTAAAGATATTTCATCAGATCAGATTATATAAAATAAAAACCATTAGAATAAAAGTAGTGGTTTAAGACGGTTTCTCAACTCCCACTTTTAGTTACTATCATATAAGCTGTTTTCTTTTTTAGTTAAGTTATGTTTAAATAAAATAAATAATACGTTATAATTATGCGACTGTGTGTCCACGATATAGAAAACTGCTGTATCATAGATTTTCATAGATAAGATAAAACATCGGGCTTATCAGCCATGGATAAAGTGTTTAAATTTTTGGGGTTTAATGGTTCCTTATTATCACGAACTAAGATATATTATCTTAGTTCATGCCACGGACTAAGATAGTATGGACTGGAAACGACCTGGCGGGCGGGTGATGCGGTACAGGACCGCTTAAGGTTAGGAGTAGGCTTGTGCGGGGTGAAATGGGGCAAGTACGATTCGCACTCTATCTATGTTTATAAAAAAGAACCATAAATGTCTACTTTTTGAATTTTTCCTCCAATGTATATTATTGTAATTATTATTTATTTACGTGTTTATTATTCATCACAATATTTGACTTGGTTTTAGTACATAGTAGTATAGTACTATCTTAGTCCGTGATTACTGATTTTGTTTAATTATTACATACCTTTTTACATCAAAATTTAATTTTTCTATTCATACTTTAAAAGTTGCAAAATGGCACCAAGACGTAAAGTACGTAAATGTTCAATTAATGAATGTGAAAGTCGTGAAGATCAGACAAATGTTACATTATTCAAAGTATACGAAAGTAACAAAGAAGCTTGGGAATCAGCAGTACATAATACAGTAAACAATCAATTACAACCATTAAACTACATTTGTTCTGAACACTTTGCACCTGATGATGTCATTACTAACTATTCACAAACACCATCTGATGTAGTTATGCCGGAGGTAAATTATAATATAAAAGCACAATTCAAAATTGATCATTTGAAGAAAAGGTTAGATACATTAATTGCTCAAGACCTAGAAGTAGACAATGTATTTCAGGCTGATATTTTTAGTGATCATGACTACTATAAATCAGATACTGAATCATGTGTGTTATATTACATCTGTGGGTATGTCACACGATATATTAATAAACACATTAAGTGTAACAATTGTCAAATTGCAGTACAAGGTAAAACAAAGAAATTATAAGATTATTTAATTCCTTAACTAAAAATTATTATTTTAGGTAAAACATCATTTTGTGATATGGCTGAAGCAACTCTCACAAATATTAAAACTAGAGGAGGCTTAATTAATCCAAGCACATTTTTATTCAATTTGTTGACGAACGTAGAGGAATCATTTCAAAAATTTTGCAATGATTATGATGTTTTTCAACAGACAGTTGATGATTTTTTTAACAAAAAATTGAAACTTATCAACACTTTTCCATGTAGTATACATAAAATTGAAGTACTGACTTTTATAATATCATATTACGTAAAGATGAGGATGTGTCAATATACAAAAGTTTTAAACAATGATCAAAAGAAAAATAATGCAAAGAAAAAGAAGAATTCAAAACTTGTTAATACATAGATTAAAATATTAATCAAATTAGAGAATACAATCAGAAACAGAATTTTGAAATGGAGACTTAGGGAGTCTAGTTTAAACTAAATGCTTACTGTTTCGTCTGTATTTTTATAATTAAAATTTAAAGTAGGAAGTGTAATATTTTTTGGTTAATAAATAAATCGCGTATTTTTGTTATGCATGTGCACTTATTACCCTACGTTTTAAAAATCCAGAATCTACTTTCCTTTAAAACCATTTTACGACATCAAAAAATTATTACATACATTTTAATATTAAATAATAGTAATAGTTCCGCGATAGCTGTCCTTCGGCACGCACGTGCGTACAGTGCGCTAGTCTTACCGCTCAACGTGTACTCGCTTATTATTTGGTCTTTTTTTTTCTTAAGCCGGTTAATTAAAGATGTGACTTAGTCTTAATGTACATATTTGCCCTTCTCTTTCAATAAAGTCTCGTGCACAATAACAAACGAAATTAATATTCATATGCAATATTGTCATAGTTGCAATATTGTCAGCGTTCTAGCGCATACGGTCTTATCGGCGACCGCCTCGGCGGTCTCGATATTATTATATAACAATCTAATTACGTTATCGCAACCCGCCGTCGTCTTCAATCGTACTTTTCGTGACTGCTATTTTATTTATTCAAAACTAATTAATAATTTATTCTAATCAAAATGTCTAACAGAAACAACAACAACATTAATAATAAAGGTATTAGTAAAATGAAGAACACCGTATCCCCGGTAACTATCAGTAAACCGATAGTAACCGATCTGGACTTATGGCATACAACTGTGGGGCTGTGCCAGCAAATCGAACATCGAAGTCATTCAACGCTGTCAGAATATTTCCCTTCGTACCATTCTCGCAGCATACAGGTTCGACAGGAATGAAATCATCCATCGAGACTTGAATATACCATCCATCGAGGACGAAATTAAAAAGTTTGCCAATAAACATAAGAAAAAACTTGAGTTGCTCCCAAATGCAACTGCTAAACAACTTCTTCACAATTCGCAAGACATTAGGCGCCTCAAACGTGTGAAGTCATATGACTTAGTTTAATTAACTTAGGCTAAGAGAAGGGGCTATATCAGTGGAGGTACAACCCAAAACATGTTCTTGTATAATATATATATATATATATGTATATGTAAGTAATTATTATTGTATAATACTTCTTATGCAATACTGTTATTATACTGTATTCACCCACAATGTATTATATTTATAAATACTTATGGTCGTTTAAATAAAAATGCCTTAGGCAGTTAAAAAAAAAAAAAATTTTTCTGCTATGGGCTCAAATTCTAATCGAAGTGCATTTTCTAAATCTGTCCATGTGGTAGTCGGATTTTTATTCTCAAAATTGTCTAAAAATGTTGCTGCTGTGCCATGTAGGTAAATAAATAGAAATAATACTTTTTGATCGGAAGACCAGCCATTAATACGACTTGCCTTGTTGTATTTGTCGATAAATAAATTTACACTTTCATTGATAGCTCCCGAAAATTTGGTAGGCTTATAAAAGGGTATTCTTTTTGACATGTTGTTTTTTTTATAAGGATTTAATATTTCTAAGCTGTGATATTGTTTGATTAATTCATTATTATTTTTATATTTTATTTTTTTAATAATATTTAGGATTATTTTAGAGTATTTATGTTTTATTAATGTATTATCTTAGAGCTGTTAGAACTGTTGTTTGTCCAGTATTTGGGTTGTTTAACATTTTTTTTTTTTATTTATTAGTAATACACAATCTGTACACAATCGGCACAATAAGAGTATGAGCTGAGACACAATAAAAAACATGAAATTATGAGCTAAGAAGCCACCCACCGATGACACTTATGTTTTTTTAAATTATTTGTTTTAACTTGATTATTATTATATTTTTTTTTTTTTTTTTGTTAGGGATTAAGTAGTGTTATAAGCCAGGTAGGCTTACAACGAGTTTTTGTAGAAAGTGAAGGTAACTCAAAAATAAATAACAATTAGTTAATTAATTAAGTATATTTTAAAATAAACACACACATATCGACAATGATAAGGTACGAGTCATATCACACTATTTTCGCGTGATTTTTCCAATTTTAAATCTTCGAGTTTTGTATAATTTTTAATGTTGAATAATGTTTTTGGTATTTTAGACCATGGCACTATATCTATATTCCTATTAGTTGACAAATGTTTTATTGGTATTAGGTCTGAATCAGATGTAAAAATCCTACAATCCTCCCTTATTGAAATTATCCCTGTCCCTGTTAAATTAATTTTCATACTTGCTTTTGCTTCCTCACAGTCTAATATAATATTTTCTCTTGAGACCGAATATATCCATGCGTTTTTAAATTTTAATTTATGAAATATATTCTCTACTAACGTAATATGTCGTACATGACATGTTTTTGGTATTTCTACTGGTTCCAATAGTAACTTTACCTCACACACTGTTCTTTCATGTCTATTATATATTGCTTGTCCTCCTGCACATAATTTATAATTTGGTGTTTGTCTACATTTATTTAATTCCTCTGTTCTATACGAAATGTAATTTTCATAATCTTTACTTATAGCTAAATAGTCCATTTTTGGGTTAATGTACATATGTAATGGATCGTTATTTCCACTTACTGGTAATGGTATTAAATTGTATAATGTAAATTCGTAATTATCAATTAAAGGTATTCTTATCAAAAATATTAAAGTTTTATTTTTATATATACATACTACATCGGCTATACTTAATAATGTATGAGCTCCTATTATGTCCAGTGGAACTGGTAATCTCTGATGTTTAGGTATATCGTTTTCGATTTTTTTTAATTGTTCCAAAATATCTTTCGGTGTTAAAACACTAGCATGAATAACGCCCCCTTGTGCTGCTGTTACAATCTCTCCTAATAAATCTACTTCAAATAATACCTGACTTATCATTAAATTAAATAATATTATTTGTTGTTCTACTAATTGTTCTAACTCTATATCCATAATTAATTCATTCATATTTTTTAATTGGTTTTCTATTTTTCCAAAATTTTCATTTAATAATATTTTTTCTTTATTTATATTAAAAAATGTATTATTATAAAGTTCTACATTTGACTTAACTGCATAAATTTGTTCTTTTATAATGCTTAATACTTTATAATTACTTGAATGTAATTCCGAAATTTGAGTAGAAAATTTATCCGCATCTTCCTCTGTTAGAGTACCATATAATTGTTTATACATATCCCCAACAAAATTAAACCAACCCCTTTTTTTCCGTGATGAGGGAGTAGTTCCTAACATGAGAAAATACTGATTTTTCCTTTTTTCTACTTCCTCTAGTAATGAGTTTATTGTAGTATTCACATCATTACACTTAGCATTTTTTATTACTTTTGTTACGTTTCTACATACTACCTCAATTATTAAAAAATATTGTTTTAACGTAGTTATTCTTAAATCATAATTAGTTAAATTTACCGAAGTTATTATATTCCAATTTATATTTGTTAATTTTAATTGTCCTTCATTCTCGTAATATAAACCTGAAGTATTTGGTACTTGAGATATATTGTATGTACTGTCTGCCAATATGATATCTAATACTAATGAAGTTGCCAAAACTAACCTAAATAACAAACAAAATTCTAATTTAATATTTACTCATCAAATGCTTTCACATTGTTAATGTGAACACGTATATTTTTATTGTTTTTCCGTATTGTTATGTTCTCATTGTCATGCCACTCTACTACTTCATATGGGCCTTCCCATTTAGATGCTAATTTATTTTTCATCTGATTATTCTTCAGTAATATTTTTTTACATGATCCTTTAGTTAATGGATTCATCGTTTTATCGTAATTATCCTTGCTTTTATTTTTATTTATTATTATAGTATCACGTGCCACCTCGTGACACTCCTGCATTCGTCGTTTCATCATGAATGAATAGTCGTCATAATTGTATTGCGGTTCTACCGGCTTCGAAAATGAATTAGGTATTCGCGGCGGATAACCATATATTAGTTCAAACGGTGTATAGTTTGTACTAGTATGAATCGACGTATTATAAGTATACATAGCATACGATATTAACTCATCCCAATCGTTTAACTTTTTATTTACAAAACTCCTTAAATATTCTTTTAGCGTCCTGTGTGACCTTTCCAATGCCCCGTTCCCCTCCGGGTGGTATGCCGTAGTGTGAATTTTTTTCACCTGTAGTAATTTGCACACGTTAGCAAACACTTTACTCATAAAATTTTGCCCTTGATCGGTTAGTATGGAACTCGGTATCCCGTATGTACAAATCACCTGTTCTACGAAATGTTTTGAAATAGTATTCGCATCCGTTGTTTCTAAAGGTATCGCTAAACTAAATTTGGTTAAATCATCTTGAATGGTTAACAAATACTCCTTGTTATTAATCGTTTTTAATAATGGTCCTACTATATCCATGAATATTTTTTCAAACGGCCTCGTAGCTGTTGTTGTAATTATTAACGGTTGCTTAGTTTTCCTATTACTTTCTTTATTTTTTTGACACAATTCGCAATTCTTAATATATTTTTTTACTTCCGATTTTAACCCCTTCCAATTAAAGTTTAATTTAATTCTTTTGACTGTGCGGGCTACCCCTAAATGTCCACCTAATTTATTCTCATGAAATTCCTGAATAATTTGTAATTTTTCCTCGCTTGGAAACGTTTGATTATAGTCCGTATTATCTAAAAAAATTTGTATCTTTATAACTGTGTCGTAAAAAATCATTTTTATCATTGCCGTAACGATTTCAAAATTTAGGTTACAAGTCTCGTAATCTATACGTGGAATTGCTAACTTTTCTATATCATACTCCACACAAAATACTTTTACCTTTAATAAGATTTCAAATAATTGTTCATAACTTGGCACTAATGGGTATTTCTCTGCAATAATGAAAAAAAATATCTTCCTATCTTCACAACCACTTATTTTTATAATTTGCCCTATTTCATGTTTTTTTTGTTTTTCCTCCTGGATATTAAATTGCTTTGCCATGTATAAAAAATCCATAGCTAATTTACCTCTAATCGATAAATCCCCTGTTACTGGTAACCCTATGTGGTAATCCTCACCCGCTTCTAATAGTGTCCCTTTTACTTCTTCTATGTTTTTATTTACTATTTTTTTACTAGCTAACGCTTGATTAAAACTATCGTACGTTATTTCCTCCTCATTAGCTGCTATTAGTATTCGACTCAATGCATCAGCATTTTGATTTTCCGTTCCTTTTTTATAAACTATCTCATAGTCATACTCCTCTAATTTTAATCTCCAACGAATTAATCTCGACCCGGGATCTTTGACATTAAATAGCCAGGTTAATGGTTTGTGATCTGTCACTACCCTGAATTTAGCACCCCACAAATAAGGGCGGAAGTGTTTTACACTCCACACTATTGCTAGACACTCTCTTTCCGTAGTACTATACCGCTGTTCGGCGCTATTTAATACTCGAGATGCATACGCAATAGGGAGATCTCTCCCAGCACTCATTTGTGAAAGTACTGACCCAATTGCCTGTCCCGAAGCATCACACGTTAAAATAAACATTTCCTCAAAATTTGGGTACTGTAGTATAGGTTCACTCGTTAATATTTCTTTCATGGTACTAAAAGCTTTCTGACACATATCGCTCCATACGAATACTACATCCTTTTTTAATAATGCCGTCAAAGGTTTTGCTATTTGACTATAATTCTTAATAAATTTCCTATAGAATCCTGTTAATCCCAAAAATCCTTTTAACTCCCTTTGGTTCTTTGGCTGCGGAAAATTCACTACGCTTTCAATTTTTTTCTCATCTGGACGCACCCTATCACCTGTTATAATATGCCCCAAATATGTCACCTCCTTCCTTAAAAATTCACATTTAGCCGGTTGAATTCTTAAATTATGTTCGCGTAATTTACTTAACACTTTTTCTAATTTTTCATTATGACTCCTTAGCTCTGGTGCAAATATTATTATATCATCTAGGTAAACGTATGCATCTACCCCTTGTAATCCTGTCAGTACGTTATTCATTAACCTTTGAAAAGTACTAGGTCCTCCTTTTAGTCCAAATGGTAATCGTAAAAATTTGTAATGATTTGTCCCCGTTGAGAACCCTGTTTTGTCCGAATCTTTTTCATCAAGTTCAATTTGATGATATCCTGCCGCCAAATCAAGGGTTGTAAAGTACTTACATTTCCCCAATTCATCCAAAATTTCAGTTATCTGTGGTAAAGGAAATACATCGCCTACCGTTACTTCATTTAATTTTCTAAAATCTACACATACTCTATACTTTTTTTCTCCTGATAGTCCCTCTTTTTTTGGAACAACTATTAATGGTGCATTCCAAGCCGAATTGGCTTTTACTACAATTTTATTCTCTTCCAATTCTCTTATTTGTCTATCAATTTCCTCTCGCTGTGCTCTGGGTAACCTATATGGTTTTACATTTATCGGTGTAATTCCGTCTGGGACTGGTATTGAATGCTTAATTGATTTCGTTGTCGATAGCTTATCCCCCTCTAAAAAAAATAAATCCGCGTATTTAAAACACACTTCGTATATAGTTTCTTTTTCTTCTGTATTTAAATGATCTACTCTTAACACGTCTAATAGTAAGTCAATCCTATTTTTCTCGTTGCTGCATATTAACACCTGTTCACAGTCCTCATATTCTTCATACTCCAATTTATCTAATTCTAATTCATTTATTTCCTGCCACTCGTCCGAATTATTCAATACTATTCCTTTCATATATTCTTTTTCTACATTGCCTATTGTACTACCAATTGTCACGTCCTCATTAATGCGTTGGCTTTGAACTACCAAACACTTGTTTTGTAATAACTTATTCACTCGTATAGGCACTATCGTTTGCGCGCGTGGTGGAATATTAATTTTGTTGTCCGGTACTACTAACACGTTCCTCTCTAGGTCAATGCACATTTTATATTCCTTCAATAATTTTTTCCCTATTATACCGTCCACACAAATCGGAAAGTCATCAAATACTATTTCGAATTCTGATGATAGTTTTACGTCACCCGCTATTAACTCTAATGTTGTTCTACCTAATGTTAAAACTGGTGTCGCATTTATACCTCTTAGTTGTACCGTCTTACTTGGGAACATTCTCACTTCTCCCTTCAATTTCGAAAATTTAATCAAATTTAAATCAGCACCACTATCCACTAAAAATTCTCCGACATTATTTTTTAACAATGGTACATCACACTTTACACATTCGTTTTTCATTTCGATTATAGTCAACACTCGCGCTTGATACTCACTGACTGTTAATGAGTTCGCTACCGGTGCATTACTTACATTACTGTTATTACTATTTTCACCTTGGTACCTATTTCTATTTTTTATTTTATAACAGTTTGCCATTACGTGTCCTGGTTTCTTACAATAATTACACGTTATTTTCGCTTGATCTTCCCACTTCTTTCTATCACTTTCCCTATTCGTCTTTTCGTAACTTTGATTTTTTCCTTGCCCTGTACTCTTACTATAACACTGGAAGCTCTTATGTCCTATTTTATTACACTTAAAACACTTAACACCTGGTTTTACTCCTTTGTCGCTATTCACAAAAAGTTTCCTATTATGTTCCTGAGCTAATAACGCTTTTTCCTCCTCCAATGCTACCTGATATGCTTCTCTTAGTGTATCCCTACTCTGAGCCTTTACTAATATATTATACGGTTCCCTCAGTCCTGCTACAAATACATTTAATGCTTGCCTTTTCACTATTTTGTTTATCACTGTCTCTTCCGCTTTTTTTGGATTTTCTAATACCATTGCCTCTATTAATTTAAAACAAATACCTTCGACCTTTTCATAATATGCTTTTATTCCCTCATTCTTAGTTTGTACACATGCTGCTAATTCTAATTGCAACTGACTCACTGTTTGATATATTCCAAAATTCTCCGTTAAAATGGTTTTTAATTCATCAAATGTACCAATAGATTTAAACCTAGTTACTTGATCGGCCCTACCTGATAATTTTGCCAATATCCCTTCTAGAATTAATGGTTGAAGACTATCTACTACATTATTTATCACATATTCACATGATTTAATAAAACTGCCTAATTCGCCTTCCTCTCCCCCGTACCTTGGTATAAATTTAATCCCTGATTCATAAGTTAATTTGGGAATCGTCATTTCTACTATTTCAATTTCAAATAATTCTGTTACTTGATAATTACTATCGCTAGATTCGATACTACTATTATCGCTACTTTGACTATC